ATCCTTTTTGACTCTCTTTCATCTTTCAGCCCCTCCATAAGGTGAACTTCTTTCGACTCTGACCTGTGCCTTCCAGAGCCGTACTGATCTACGCCACTAGTGCTGGTCTGTGCGGCTCATCCTCCCGTCACAGTTAGCCTGTAATCCTAAGCACTCTGGGAGGCCGAGGTGTTTGGGTCACCTGAGCTCAAGAGTTAGAGACCAACCTGACTAAGAGTGAGACCCGTCTCTAAAAATAGCCAGGCATTGTGGTGGGCACTTGTAGTCCCAATTATTTGGGAGGCTGAGGCAAGAGAATCACTTGAGCTTGAGATTCTGAGGTTGCTGTGAGCTATGACTCCATAGCATTAATGATCTTTAAAAATGTTCAAGCACACCAGTTGAAAATCACTGGTCTAAGGACGGCCTGAGAAAGTAGATTCTGAAGGTGCTAAGAGCTGGTGTCTATCAGCGGACTTCACTCCTTCCTGAAGAACTGCAAGGATTTTCTTGTGGCATACCTCCTTGCCTGCTATGGAACTTCAAGGAGGTTTAAAATATTTAGGAACGAGCACAATATTGAATTAACCCTCTCTTTCCCACCACCATTGTGGCAGGCGGGGTCAGGGGAGAGGAGAGGGTACAGGTGAAAGATAGTGGAGAGGAATCCTCGTGGACTCGGTCATTCTGTTAATCAGCATAATTTTTTAATCGTTCGCAGTTTGGGTCCCCTTTCTGGAGGTTTCACTTGTCATTGTATTTATGGGAAATTGACAATTATTAATTGTTTTCGAGCCTGAACCAGCCCTTATTAAAATTCAAACATATTTCCCACTACTGGCTCTAATATCTATGTAACCATTTATCTTATAGTGGATTTTACTGTAAGCGTAATATTTACAAGAAACAATTTGTCATTCTTGGGTTAAGTATAGAAACTTCAATATTTTCTAGATAAATATGTCAAAATAACTAAGATTCAAGCAATAAAAGAGAACGGGAAGCTTAAAATACAGAATTTTATATCCGAGTTGGGAGGTTTGCTATCTGGTTTGACTCTGTTATCATTATTGTTTTATAAATATAATTTTCCAATTATTAACCATCATTAGCATTAATGCTGGTAATCTGTCTCACTAAGGATTTCAAAGTGCCATATTTTTTCTATGCTAAATGAGTTCCAAGGCGCCAGCAGTGATTCCCACCCAGATTGGCTATGCCCAAGGTCTCCAAACACAATTAAGTCCTAATTCATATAGAAATATGCCATTCAGCAATTCCGGTCAGGGACAGTCGTGGCAGACCCTCAAACGATTCTGGACTATTTCAACTCCCTAAAGACTTAAATCTCTAATTGACACCATAGCCCTGTTTTTCTCACTGAGGACAGTGCTCCTTGTCCTCTAAACCAGGTTCCAGGTATGTGTTCCCAGGGCTGGGTGCTCAGATGAACACACACACACACACACACACACGCGCGCACACACACACACACACACACGCACACACACGGGCACACAGAGGCAGAGGAGGACCAAGCACCGAGGTGGAGACTCAGGAGGTACAGATGCTGTGTCAAATTTCTACCCCCCGTCTTCTTCCTGTCACCTGCTCCCTAATTTTTCCCTAACATCCTAGGCACACCGTCCCCGTTTCCCACTCATCTTCTCTGTGCCCTGTGCCTGCTTGTCCCGGCGCCCTCTCCCGCTGCCCTGCCTCTTTACCCATGTTCACTCACCCGGAAACACACCTGCAGCCCTCTCTGCCTTCAGCCCTACCGTGCCTGCCCAGCTCCTGTCGTCCTGAGCGTCGTGGCAGCATCACCTGTCTGTGCAGCCTTGCTCCTGGCCCAGCTGGGCTTTGCGTTCTTTAGCTGCTTTCCTTGGCTGTTCCTTTGGGCAGTTATCCAACATTACAGTCAATCTATTTATATAACTCTCTCCGTCATCTGCGCTAAGAAGTGAGAATAGGGACCGTATTTTTTCTTTTCTTCTTTGTTTTCTTTGAGACAGAGTCTCACTCTGTCACCCTGGGTTGAGTGTCATGGCATCATAGCTCACAGCAATCTCAAACTCTTGGACTCAAGCGAACCTCTTGCTACAGCCTCCCCAGTAGCTAGGACTACAGGCACCTGCCACAATGCCCAGCTACTTTTTCTATTTCCAGTGGAGACGAGGCCTCACTCTTGCTCCGGCTGGTCTTGAACTCCTGCGCTCCAGTGATCCACTCAACCTCTGCCTCCCAGGGTGCTAGGATAACAGGCATGAGCCACCACACCTAGCTAGGACCATATATTTTTGTGTGTGTAGCCTAGGTACTTGCTAACAAAACACTCGTTGCATTTTTGCTGAATGAATGAATGAATCCTCACTCCTCATTTCGTGTACCAGAGGGCCAGAATGTCCACAGTGGCTCTCGGAGGGTCAGCTGCAGGGTCCTTCCCAGACCTGGCACACTCCAGTGCGTGCCAGCCCAGGTCCAGTGCCATTCGCATCAGGACTTCACCCACACAGAGCACCACACACCCAATGAGCTTTCTCTCTATTCTGATTGAAGTCTGATCTTTAGCTAGTAATTAAAACTACTCTGAATTCATGTGTTACGCTAAGTGTAAACTTGTTAATGTGTGGATTTTGCCAGTAGTGTGTCAAATGACAAAGAGGATGGGAAGCCAGTGAAGCATAGAAGTGAAACCCTAATGGTGGCATTTCAGGAAATAGGAAAGGACAGATGGGAAGATATTTCTGGGCTGGGGAGCTTCTGGGTGCCCTTCACGTGGTACCACACCAGCCATTTCCTGTTCCTGGACAGAAGGTTGGATCTGCCGCTACCACACTCCCGAGCTCTCCTGAGAAAAGTATTGCTATTTCTGTCTTTTTAAAACAGGTAGAGGTAGTATCCCTTCTGGTTGTCAAGGGCCAGGAAGGAGCATCCTTATACAAGGGTCAGAAAAAGCTAATGTCAGAAAGAAGTCATCCTGTTTCTACATCTAATAGACACCATAGTAACACTTGCCAGTTTAGAGAGAAAAAATCAAGTTCAATGCAAAGAGATTTGTAATAATTATAACAATAGCTGGCACTGATGAAGTGTTTACCCAGGTGCTAGGCTAAGCCCTTTCTTTGATTCCTTACACCAACCTTATAATAAAAGTCATTTTATTGCCCACGTTTTACACACAAGTTAAGGAACTTGCCCGTGGTCATAAAGCTGATAGGGGTCTGAGTCAGCAGTGGCACCCAGAAAGTTATGACTGGAATCCTCAGTGTACTCTCTGGGAGATACCCCCTGTTACAGAAGAGGGCCACCAAATTGTGCCTACATGCCTACGTATGATCTAGCACTATTTGTGCTGGTATTACTGTCCTTTACATGGCAAAACATTTACATTATATTTACTTCCTTTTATATCCATGAGGGTGAAGAAAATATAATTTATGAATCCAGTTTTTACATTAAACAGCTCATCTAGAAAATGCAAATGCTTTGCCATTATTTTCCTTTTTTTTTTTGCAATAATCTATAAAACCTCTCCCATATGTAAAGAATACTTGCAAAAGGTTTGGGGAGGAATTTCAAAAGATATTATTAATATGGTGCCTGACTCGACAGAATTTACAACCTGAAAAGTAATATTAAGACCTCGATAACGTTACAAGTCCACCCTGTGTACAAGCTGGGTCCAAATAGATTGAGAAGCCGCCCAGCCAGCAATCAGACGACTGGATGTCAGAGACAAAAAATAACTATTGTCTTCACCCCTTTACTTTCAGGCAATTGTTTCCTAAACACGATTATAGTCACTAAGTGTGCACACTTCAGAAACTCCAGACCATCACTACATCTCATGGAAATGTGTGTTGGCATTTTTGCTGAGATTTCTTTTAAAGGACCACTTCTGTCCATCAAGTCAGAGTTCTTATGAGTGTAACATGTTTAAATTCTTCATCTTTCCTGACAGGATGTAGGTCCCAACAGTAGCAAAAATCGAACTCCTTCCTACTCTCTGAAAATACTGCTCAGATGTGTAGCTTGAAAGTCTTAAAGCCATTTGTTGAAATATATTTAACCTCTGTCTTTTGGTTCCTACCCGGTGAACGTCCTCTTTTACAAGGCTATGATCCATCAGTCAGCTAGTTGGTCTCATGGCTTCTTCCCTGGAATTGACCTAATTTCCTGGCTATTTGGGTATCTGCAGACACCTTTATACAAAGAGAAGGCAGGCTTCACATTAAATGACGAAAAGAGGGTTATTTCTTTTCTTCTGAGATCTAATACAGATGAATTGAGTGGCTGTTGGCTAGAGTTACAATCACATCAGCCCTCTCCCCTCTCTCATTTTTAAAATGAGCATATGAATCTGTAACAACCCAGGGAAGCTCTGAAGACGCTAAATGAAGAAGTTAACAATAATTGCATATTTGAAGATCCGTCTGTATGATAAAGAAGGCTCTCCTTTATACTGAAATACCAACAAGATGCAGCATGCAAAAAAATATAGTATCTTAAAAGAGATTTTAAAAACTTCCTTTCGACAGTACAGTTGGGTCCTTTCGGATAATTAATCATTAGTAAATATTTAAGTACTGTTTTCTATTTACATCGCACTACATACCACTACTTCTTTAAAAGTTAACAGGATTTAATTTTCTTTCTAAATAAATATGCCACTCAGCAAATTGTCTATGCTCTTTCCCTGATGTCTACGCCATTCAGGTCAAAGCATCGATTTCATTCAAAACTCAGACTTTGATCCGAATTTGTTTACCTGGCTACTAATAAGAGATTTGGGGCAGACTGTCTAAAATCCTCATGACAAAATGAGGAAGAATCTTAAAATGTCCCTGAAAATCGGAGCAGATGGAACATCCGCTAATCTAGGTATATTTTCTCCCTGTGATTAACCGGTTTCTTAATGACAACATCTCTTATCTTACAACTGTGACATGAAGAGGGAGCTATAGCTCTTCTGAGACACAGTTCTGCAAGAACCAGCTTATCCCCGCTCTCCGATCTCGTGTCTGTGCCTCTTTCTCTCTCCCTCTCTTGCGCCGTCCCTCATTCATTCACTCTTCCACCGTTTTGCCATTGTGCCAGTTCCATTGAAATGTATCTGCTCTGTATCTGTTCAAGTGGAGATAATCCATGCAAATCAGGAGCCCTGGCTTTCAGTGCCTGGTTCACAGAGAGGACTCAGCTTGAGGAGGTCACCCGTGCGCGGCCGCTCCTCCCGTGACATTTTTCCCCTTATTGCCGAACTGCTGTGTGTGTACAGGGGCTGAAAGGACTCAATGCACTGCAACTGCTGCCTGGCTTTCCTTACAACTTTTTTTTATAAAGGAACTTACCTCCATCTGTCTTTTCAAGGTAGGAAGTCTGATTCTTCTAAAGATGTGTGTAAATGCCTCCACTGTCTGCTCATTATCAAATGTCACTTGAATGCTTTATATTGTTGCTGGCATTAGGCACCGGTGGCGCTGGGATTCCAGGTGCTTCGTGCTTTTGTTACTTAAGCGTCTAGGTACAAGTGTTTAAGTGCCGGGTATTAGAATGTTTATTTTGCCTGCAGCTGCTTCAGTTTTACGACCTCCAGAAAAATTAAGAGTGTCCACCCTCTAATCTAGAAATACAATCCTCTTCCAAGTTTCCCCTCTTAGAAAAATAATAAGCTCTCGTTGTGGTTTAACTTATCATGTATTCTGGCCAATAATAGCCAAGTGTAAATTCAACTGTGTTCAGATTTTTTTTTTTTCAACCTGGAATCTCCTGCAGCATTTTTCTGTGAAAAATAACTAATGTGGAGATGTTTTTAACAACAGCAAGAAAAGGATAGATTTTACTTCATTCCGCTGCAAAGCAAAGAGCTAGAGGCCTTATTGCTAACAGGCCTGTCAGATAGATTTATTCTTCACAATTCATAAATTGTTACTAGGCTATGCAGGAGTATTACAATTAGTTAAGATTCAGTGACTGTCATTTTACATGGGGTTATTTATTGTTTTGAGGTTGCAACTGTATTCTTTAAAAAGTTTAATGTAGCAAGGCTTAAAAAAAAAAAAAGCCCTATGTTGCATATCACCCTGGAAGATCATTCTTTAAGAAAGCTTTCAGTAGCCAGCTGATTAAGTCTGAATTAAAAATGCATGTAAGAGGTTAACGGATTTGACAATATACATTCTGATTTATGAGAGTGGTTCCTAGACTTACATTACTTCATATGTGTCTCTTTGAAGTTACTTGCAATGATATTTGAATCATTCCTTAGTCATTTCAATTTTAAAACATACTAAAATGTCATAAAATTACAGACTCCAAAATCTCTTTCTGATTAGTACAAATATAATTAGAACATTCCAGTGACAATTTGGGTTTCCATAAATGTACCGTGTCTTTGAAAGTACTCCTTATTGATATAATTTTACCTTTATTATCTTATTTTTCTGAGACGCTTTTGACACATAGCTGTGTTTAATCTCTTGGATAGGATAGAATTGAACATGAACAGTAAACAAAGTTGACAGTCCCAAAAAGAAGAAAAAATTATCCTCGAGTCTACCGAATAGTTCTGATGACATAAATCTTACATTTCATCCTTCTAGGTAGATACTTGTAGTTACTGCAGTTGGAGGGAATAAATTTATTACCTACATAAAATATCTCAGTGCCAAACATGAGCAGTTCTTTTCCTGTTTGAAACAGAGTCTTTGATTGAAAAAAAAAAAAAAATGCATCCTGATTTTTGAGTACAGGAGGAGGCAGGAAGCCTGTCATTGTTAGCGTAAAAGAAGACATCGGCACCAGTATTACTGCACAGAGGGCAAGCTTTCTGTCTCTGGCATTTGTTAGGTTACTGTACGTAGAATTTAACAGATAAATATGTTCTCCTTCGTGGCATTTTAGTGATCCTATTGGTATGCAGGTTACTCTGCTAAGATAGCAACAGAAAAAAGAGACAGAGATATGTTTTATAGCAGTGGGTAATAAAAGTCCTTCACCGTGTGAGAAGAGGAATTTGACTTCTTTCTTATGCAGTAATTAGAATTTCTTTAACACCCTTTGAAATACTGAGTTGTACAGTAAACTGAGGCTTCCCAGGAAAGGCTAATTGAATTTATCTGTTTAAACCATGCGGTTGTCCATGAATCCCTTCTTCCCAGACACTGTCGCTGAAGAATTCCACTCACACCTTCAGCATTCCAGAGAAAGAAAAGGCTTCCTCACTCACAGGGAAGGGGGATTCTTTTGTATTTAAAAGGAGTTTGAGAAGAGCCCCCGACACAGGAAAGCCTTAGCAGATGGAAAGGTGTGTGCGAGTGCCTGGTCGTGTGAACTTGAGACTGGTGTGAAACTAAAGGGTGCCCCTTCCAGAACAAAGGAACGCCATGCAACACGGTCAGCAGTCAAGCTGGGAGAGACAGGGACAGTGGCCAAGGGGCTCTTTGGGGGACAGGGAAAAGGCAAACGACCGGGTCCTCTCTGTTAAACAAAATTGCCAGTGTTTCGGTAGGTCTGAGAGCACTCCCCACGGAATCTCAAGCCATCACTTCACAGCTTTATTTGAAAGGTACATACTTTATAGACTTCGGCATTTGTTTGCAGACCTCTGAGAAAACTCTCGAAAGACCTAACTTGTATGCCTGGAGTTAGGTTGTACAGCTATGTGTCTTGAATAAAACGGTCACAGCCTTCAACTCCCAGGGGTCTCTACTGCTGCGTCTGTAAACTTGACTTGTAACTTATTCAAGCAACTGTCCAAGAGAACTTACATGTTACCCCATTTCAGCACCTTGCAGCCGAATCTATACAACTGGTAGACCTTCTGGCTGTGTATAGTATGTTGCTATGCCCACTGGGTTCTTTTCTGCTGGTTTTACTGGGTACATTTAAAAGATAAATGATCATCTTAAAAGGATACTGGGGAGGGTGTTAGTAAGTTCTCTCTAACTTCAGGAGTGTTCAGTGCAGACAAAGATGCTTGTAACCCTGCTTGATGGAAAATGATGTCCTTCTCTCCTGGATAGTCAATGCCTAGATCATCTGTGAATATTCCAAATTTCTCGGAAAGGACTCTGCAATGCTATCTATATTTTCCAAATCTTGGAAGTTATTGTTGTGTTTGACAACTCAGAAGGTGCTGCTTTGTCGATGTTAATTAAAATCTGCTCAAAGCAGATTGGAATGTCCAATTGGAATCATGTCCATTTTAAAGATCAAGACCTTGAATGTACAGAGAGGTTAAGTAACTTAGCCAAGGCCACACCGTTGGGGTAGAACTGGAATATGAACCCATTTATTCTGTTACTGGCTTTGAGACATCATACAATAATGCCTGGCTAATTCGCTCTAAGGACTAAATA